AGCCAGCTTCTGTCGCGACTCCTTCGACCCCGTGTAGACCTAGCCCGACGCCCGTGTTGGCCGAGCCGGCCTCCACTCCGTCCTCGCCAGGTCGTTCGCCTAGTCTGACTGGCTCTCCCATGCTGCCGGACATGCCACCGGTGCACGTGGCTGCTGAGCTTGGGGAGCGGTTTGCGTCGTCCTCGCCATCTTCATCGACTTCGTCTTCAACGCTACCTCCGCCACTTACCGCTATTCCGCGTCCTTGTACGCGCAGTCAGAGTGGTATTGCTCGGTCGAAGGAGCGCACTGACAGCATGGTTGCGTGGATTGCGGCGTGTATGGCACAGGCAGATGCTGACACCACTGCTGAGCCTCGGCGTTTTCAGGTGGCTCTTCGGATTCCTTATTGGCGCAGTTCCATGGAGCAGGAGTTTGTGGCCCTACAGAGGAACAATACTTGACGCTTGGTCCCTCCTGTGTCTGGTGTCAACATTATTGATTCCAAGTGGGTGTTGAAGGACAAGAAGCATGCTGATGGTTCTATTGAGCGATACAAGGCACAACTGGTGGCTAAAGGTTTTAAACAACGATATGGTCTTGATTATGAGGATACTTTCAGTCCAGTTGCCAAACCTACCATTATTCGTCTGCTTCTGTCCTTGGCTGTTGCCAAATGGGTGGTGTCTGCGTCAACTTGATATTCAGAATATTTTTCTCCATGGGGTCTTGGAGGAAGAGGTTTACATGCGGCAACCTCCAGGTTTTGTTGATCTTGCTCGTCCACATCATTTGTGTCATCTTGTTAAAGCGTTTTATGGACTTAAGCAGGCTCCCCGTGCATGGCATGCCCGACTTGGCTCGGTTCTTCGACGTCATGGGTTTGCTCCTTCCACTGCTGACACGTCTCTGTTCCTGTTCCATCGGCCTGATGTTACTATGTACCTACTGGTTTTTGTTGATGACATTATTCTTATCAGCTCCTCGGTGACTATCGTTGATCGTCTCTTGTCTACTCTAGGTGGTCATTTTGCTGTCAAGGATCTGGGTGCTCTTCATTACTTCCTTGGTCTGGAGGTTTCACGGTCCACCACTGGCCTGACTCTCACTCAGCATAAGTATTCCTTGGACTTGCTACGACGTGCTGGTATGTTGCAATGCAAGCATGCTACCACTCCTATGTCTGCGACTGGTCGGTTATCTGCCTTGGATGGTGCTTTGATTCCCTCAGATGATGCTACAGAGTACCACATTATTGTTGGTGGCTTGCAGTACTTGAATATCACACGCCCGGACATCTCCTATGCGGTCAACCGTGTGTGCCAGCATCTTCATGCTCCTCGGACTTCACACTGGTCAGCTGTGAAGCGTATACTGCGTTATCTCTCTTATACTGTTTCGTATGGCTTGCATCTTCGGTCTACCTCCTGAGTGCTCTTTCAGCGTTCTCTCATGTAGACTGGGCTGAGAGCCTGGATGACCGGCGATCAACGGGGGGCTATGCTGTCTTCTTTGGTCCTAACTTGATCGCCTGGAGTGCGTGCAAGCATGCCACATTATATCGGAGTAGCACTGAAGCAGAGTATAAGGCAGTTGCCAATGCCACAGTGAGCTCATTTGGATACAGTCTCTGTTGAGAGAGTTGGGAGTCTCTCTAGAGCAGCCGCCAGTCCTTTGGTGTGACAATATTGGTGCGACATATCTTTCGTCCAATCTAGTTTTTTCATGATCGTACCAAGCACATCGAAGTTGACTATCATTTTGTGAGGGAACGTGTTGCACAGAAACTTTTTCATATCAAGTTTATCTCCTCGAAAGATCAACTTGCCGATATCTTCACGAAGCCACTTCCACAACCTCAGTTCGACATCGTTTATATGTAGCTTTTGTATATATGTAACTTGCTAATTTGCTTTGCACTTCAGGCCACAGTCAAGATTAAGGGAGGATGTTAAACAATGTTTATATGTAGCTTCTGTACATATTCTGTATCTTATATTTGTATACTTCATGTACCCATGTATATATGAGATAGTCACACCCGTATTAGACGTCATGCAGTTTCCCCCAACCCTAATCTTTACAATAGGTGGTCCCCATGACGCGCCTCCTCTTCCGGCACGTCGCCCCGGCTGGCTGGCGTGGCCGTCGAGGGAGTTAAATGGACTGGATCGGGGCGGTTTGGTTTCAGGAGGAAAAGAAAACGAAAATGGATTAAAACCGTGGGTTCAAATCCATGGACGCTGGCACTCCGCCATCCACTCGCGCCGGCGCCGCCTCTAGCCTCCCTCCCCTCTGAAGCTCCCCATCTCTTTGTTCGCTGGATCTAGCCGTCGGCCTCCCTCCTCGCTGAAGCTCGCCGGCGCCTTTCTCGGCCTTGCCGGACCGGCGCGGCCTGGTTCTTCCTCCCCATCCGCTGGCCTTCGTCCCACCGTCGACCTCCACCACCTTGATGCAACGTTGCTCCTCCACGAGCTCCACGAGCTCCACGACCGGTAATTCCCCTTCCCCTCCTCCTTTCTTGGCTGGATATACAAGCTGAGGGAGGCCCTCACTGAACTATTAGTAGATACCACTACAAGAGAAGCTCTGTCAGAGAGGGTTTGGCTAATTCTATTGCATGCTAAATTCTTCAGACACACTCCAATTGTGTTACAGTATTATACGTACTACTTTTCATCCGCAAGCTGCTCTGCTGAATTGGTATATGGCAATACATACACTAGCGATGATCAGATTCAGACAATAATGTGTTATTGCTGTCCTTGTCCACGTACTGAGCCGAGGTGAGGGTCCATGCATGACATTAACGCAGCTTGCCCAGATTAGGCACACAGATTGCTTACTGAAGGCAGGCAGTCCAGTGGCAGGGGGTCAAGAGATGAGGCCATGCGTCCTGCTTTAGCAGCAGCATTTCACCCTGAAGCTAGTGTAGGATGCCTACGGCATGAATTATATTTTGAAGAGAACAAGGGGCCGTATACACCTAATTTCAAAACATATAGCAATACATTTTATCCTGTACCACTGAAGAAATGATCAGGTCAGTGGTCTTTCGAAGAGTCCCAGTAGCAAAACTCATGCTAAAGAAAAATGAACACAATAGGGTAAGTAGTGCGCTTGCTTCTGCGATGTTAACGGGTCTGGGAGGCAATTGAAATTGTGGAGTTCAGAAACTGTCTCTGCCCACGAATGCTATATCTTTCATTAACCCTATGATAAACATGTCTAATCTCTAATTGCATAAGTAACTGGAAAACAAACCAGCATGGCTACACCTTTAAGGCTGTCTTCATCTGAAAGCTTAGTGATATCAACTGAATGTACACGTCAAAAATATATCTACTGAATGTGTGTACTTTACAACTTTATCCTATATGAACTCTTGAGCTGTTGATCTTTTAATGCTTCTATTCTTTTGCTTGGATTGGATGGTTCATTATGTAATGTCTCTTTTCAAAAAATAGTATGTAACATACTGTTTTTCTAGAATAATATTTGGATCTGCACTTGTGTGACTAAATGACTTTTCCTGTCTTTTCACATTCAGGAGCAATGAATGCTAGATGAAAGTGAGCATCCAAAACATCAAATGCGTGAATGCTAGATTTGAAGGACTGGCCATCCTTTGGCCATACTGAGTACCTGTAGTCTGTTGACTGCTTGAGCATGGTGAAATGATATTATTGTCCAAAACTCCAAGTGGAGCTCCTCCAGTCTCCCGAGCTGACCTACAAAACCGGTGATCTTGCCCCAAACCAGTTTTGAAGTATTGATCATGGTAAAATGCAATGGATAAAGCCCATGGGTATGCCCTTTCTCTTTTGTTCAAGTATTGATTCTTCTCTTCCTTGCTACTTTGAAGTACTGATTATTCTCCTCCTTGGTCATGTCATTTCCCAGCGTGTCAAAATGGGCACTCCTGATTTCTCTGCAGGAGGAAGGGAGCCGAGAAGCTGCGAATGACACTTGAAGGTGCAGAGGAAGAGGAAGAACTGCAACACGTGTGAATGTTGCCAACATTTCCCACTGTAATTGATTGAAGTTGTCAATATGAATTCATATTATGTATCAGGCATTGTAAATTCCCTTGTAATCCAGTGGATTTATGTCAATGAATATGTGAATTCAGATATTCAGTGAAGTAAACACCATTGTCGTCAAGTATACATTTTCTCTGCGACGTGAAATATGGTTTGATTTGATACTGGCACCATTTGTGTGGAACGAAATTTGCAGCAGTTGCCAAATTTGGCAGGTACACATGAGTTTGCGGCAATTGTACTGAATATGTTAACGCAGTGGATCCATGTCAATGAATATGTTAATTAAATGAAACTGGTCTGCATATACAGCAATTGTACTGAACAAAATTTGCAGCCGTTACAAAATTCAGACAGCAAGTACACATGAGCTGTTGGTAAAAAGGATGCATGTATGCATCAGGATTCAGGAAGCGTGCTTTTTGGCGCCTTCTTGATGCGACAAATAAATTCTGCATTGTTGAGGTGTAAATTTTTCTCGTGGGAGTAGAGCACACATATCTGTTCCTCTCCTGAAATTCAGTCACTAGGAATAGTTCACAAAAGAAATATTCTTGGTGGAATCGTTTTCCTGTTATTATTCATGTTAAGTTAATAGGAGGAACATATACATCAGATGAAAACATAGAAAGAGAGCCAATGGCAGATGTTTGCATACATTATACTGATCAGATCTAATGCTCTTACATGAAACAAAACCCTTGCATTAATTGATCAAGTGTGATCATAATGCACACTAATTAATGGCCAAATTAAGAATCTCACTCGCACTACTGGAAAACATGCCAGTGAAATGCTCCTACACACTTGCAATTAGTAGATTACATAGTTGACAACTGTATCCCTTCCTTTTCTTGCTCTGCTTTGCTTTTCTTAGCTAGGTAAGAGTACACTGTCGGCTCTGCTCTCTCTGATGTAAGACTGCACTGCTTATGATTTCTTCCCCTGCTTCCATCACTTGAGCACACATCCGTGGATTTACATCGCTTGAGCAAAGTACCGTTGATGAGCCATCGCAATGAGTTGAGCTTGAGCACGCCATGCTTCTTGTCTTGCTTGGAGCAGCTCCTCAGGGGACTTGGTCACGTCGGAGGGATCGATCCAGGGGTCGTTGAACTGCACGGTGTCCGCCATCTGCTCCATCTTTCGCCGGGCCTCCGCTCGGCTGCGCTCGATGTCGCGCCGACGGCTGGCCTCTTCTTCGGAGGCAGAGCGAGCCTTGTCGAGGAGAGCCATGGTGAGGCGAGCTTTCTCGATCAGCTGGCGCATGCTGATCTGCGGCTTCGATTGCGTCGCGCTCGCCAGAGATTCGGCGACCTGGTTCTTGATCCCGGAAGGGTGGGGGCACGTCGGACTCTTCGGATCCTTGCCGCTGCTGGGACAGTGAAGCTTGATGTTGGCGGGGACCGCGGCATGGAGCTCGCCCCCCGAGCAGGCACCGCGTACGCGCTTCGGCGCCGGCGGTTGTACGTCGCGCACGGATCCGGGACGCTTTGGCCTCTTGGCAGCCGCGGGGTTCGCCATCAAGGCGGGGTTCACGCACACGCGGGAGAAGCAGGAGTGCAGATCGGCGGCGGCGGCGGCGGCGCTACGGCGCGGGAACAGAGCAGGCGGAAGCACCGCGGTGCCGCCCATGGTCGCGGCCGCGGAGTCGCGAGAGCAACGATCTGGCGGCGGAAGGGAGGATGAGGATGCCGATCAGATTCGGATGGATCTGGAGTTGGGGAGACGGGACGAGCAAGAAAGAAGAGACGCGGGAGACGGGGCAGCGATGGAACTGGCGGCAATCAGGAGTATATCTGTCGATGGTTTGAATCCGAGTATAGCTCGAAAGCGCGGGGATTTGGACATTTACTTTACTGTGACGACGCTATCTTTCCAACTTGTTTCAGGAAGAAATTCTAACGACGACAACAACACTTGTACGTGCTGAAAACATTTTTTGTTTTGAGAATAATAACCTGAGTAAAGGGCGGTTATTAAAATAAGTTAGGAAGGAAACGATTTATATACCATAAACCACCATATGTTGCCAAAAGAATAGGGTCCAAATAAATAGGCTGGCCGATCGAACGGCCACGTCCAGCCGTGCATCCCCGTGGTAGAAGAAGTAGGCGGCCATGGCAGCGGCGCCAATCTCGATGGCCGTCGCTGGGTCAAGTAAGAGCGCGCCACCACCGGAAGAGGCCGGCAGCCCATGGCCGCACCTCCTGCCAGAGCTTCTGTGGCTGGTGCTCCTGCGCATGCCGTCCCACGCCGACCGCGTCCGCCTCCGCGCCGTGTGCCGGCCGTGGCGCTCCGCGGCGCGTGACCTGCCCCCGCTACTGCCATGGCTCGCCCTCCGTGACGGCACCTTCCTCAACCTCCCCGACGGCGTGGTCCACCGCCTGCCCGCCATCCCAGCCAACGTCGCGAGCCGCGTCTCCACCGGCGGCATGCTCTTCCTCGTGCACGACGACGGCAGCTGCTCTCTCATGAACCCTCTCACCGGGGACGACCCCGCAGCACGTTGACCACGACATCCTCTGGTTTCAGATCACAAGATCGACTCCCCTCTACCTCGTCCCATACAACATCCACAAGATTGTGGTTTCGGACAACATCTTCGTCGTTTCAAGCAGGAACAACTGCCGATTGCACATCTATGCCCGCGGGCCGCGGCCGCAAGCAGGCTCCATTAAGCTGGATCCGTTGATTCCCAATGACATGGCACTCTTCAAAGGCAAGCTCTACATGCTCACTGGTTGGACTTCGCGGGATGCGCAAGGCATCACTCGTCATCGGGAGCTCCATGTCCTGGACTTGCGGTCGGGCCTGCAGCACGACCAACACCAACCATCCGTCCAATGCTGTATACCAGGCACAACAACAGATTGCTTCTCGACCGGCTTCTACAAGCGCTATTACTACTTGGTCGTGTCCGGTGACCGGCTGCTCATGGTTGAACGGGAGATCGAAGACGACCGCGTCTCTCGTAAACGAATCCGGACTCGGTGGCTCAAAGTCTTCGAAGCAATGGACCTGGACTTGGAGTGTGGCCATGGACGGTGGAGGAAGGTTGATAGGTTGAAGGGGCATGCTCTTTTTGTCAGCCTAGAATGCTCTTTCTCGCTCCCGGCTTCTGTTGATGGCTGTGCCTGTGCGGTTGGAGTTGGAGCTCAAGAAAACTGCGTCTACTTTGTAAGAGAGTTTAAACTCGACACTCATCCGACATGTGAGGTACAGGCCGAGGACGATCATCTCTGTTGCGGCGTGTACAATATCAGAGACCAGACCGTGGCGCCATTACCCACCGAGATGCTGGCCAAGACAGCGGTAGCACATGCCGGTCCATGGTCCTTGACCTGGTTCCCTTTGCCCACAAACTAACCTTACGGTATTAGTTTTAGTGTATATGCAATTTAGTCAGTGATTAGGATTTGGGAGCATGTATATGTCGGATGCCTGTAATGCTCAAGAGTAAGGATAAACTCTTTTCTTTTGCTGGAATAAACATTAACTTTAGGGAGGATCAATTAATTGTGGGCTCGTATGATTTCCTAAATGAAATAGTAGTATACTATCAAAGGCCAGATTTTCTTTTCAAAGAAACTGATACGTATTTAAACCCTAAACCCTAAACCCACACTTCTGATTCACATAAACTGAGAGTCATTTATTGAAAGGTTAAGAGTGTCAAAGTGCAAGAGTGTAAGTTTTCTTTACTTGTGGGAAGCAAAGAGAGTGTTAGATCGACCTACTGGAAGCAAAGAGAGTGTCAGATGTTCACTGCCTGCCTACTACCATGCAGCGCATCCACCCTTCTGGGATGATAATATATTTCTGTTTATTCATTTGCGGAGGCAGAGTTTACTCTGTCGCTAAAAGTTTTGCTACTAAGAAGGCCGAGGGCGAAGCCGGTGACCCAGTCGAGATCTGAATTTCTATGACCTAAGTTCAGTGCATGCTTCTCTCTGAATGTTTGGCCTGCCAATTTGTATTGTCTTGCAGACATCGGAGGATTGTATGCAGGCCATTTGTGCCAATGGATTACTGCATTTATATGTTAGTTTTTAATCCTCTTGAACGAAATGACTATACAGAGTCTCTGTGATAACCTATGACAAATCTTCCTTTTTTGCAAATAAAGTTCAGTACATTCCTCCAAGGAATCCTTTTTTGCTATCTGTGACAAACTATGAGTCTGTACCCGCTTACAAAGTACACGAAAATCTTGCCCGAGCTCCTGATCCAGCCACACGGCCATCAGTGGAGAGTGACTAGAAGCAGTCTCGGCAGACAATCTCAACCTTCCGCCAAGGTCCATGACCAGAAGTCTAGGCAAACAATATCCTCTGACTTAGATCGATCTACTGCAGAGGGAAGTAGTACACCATGCGCCGTCCGTTGGCCATCCGATGGCAGGAACGTAGAACAGGCTCTGTCGCTCAGTTCGCCAGCAAAACTACCGGCCCATGCGGCCCAACGCGACGCAAGCGAGAGGGAAGCGAGGGGAAAAGGGTGCGAGAGGCCACAGAAAAAGGCGCGAAGACTACAGAAACAGCGGCAAAGTTTACTGGAAGGAGATCGCTGGCGCCAGGCGGGGACGGCTGCTCTACTCGCCAATCTCAGGTAAGTCTCCCCAGTCCTTTCTCTCGACGCCTAACACATGAATAAAATTGCTCGACGTTCCAGCATCCCATTTGTAACGACCTGGGCTGTGCCCACGAGGTGTGCGTGAGTGGCCTGTTGGGCCGGCCCATTGTGGCATGTAATGATATCTACTTATAGGCTAGTGCGAGGAGAGGAAGACATCGATCTGTAAACTGAATATCGTTATTCCTAATCCCAAGCCTTCCTCTGTGCTTCTTCTTCCTCTCCAAGCTATTTCCCCTCTGTCTCCACCTACCACATCCTGGCGTGACGCAAGGAGTTGCTGCGATCCCGTAACATCTGGTACTCAGAGCCCAAATCGATCCGCGTCCTCTGATCCAAGAAATTTTTCGCGATCTTCAAGGCAATCCATCGATCAGCTCCTAATTCCAGGCAAAAGGTGCGGATCCCCTCGGGTGATTCTGCGAAAAACACTCCGGTGTATCTGCGTCTGGTCGAGCAGATCGAACGGCAACAACGGCGCGCTCCAACAAACCAACCCTCTCTGCGCGGATGGCGACGGCGGAGCTCTCCCTGGCGGACCTGCAGAAATTGGTGCAGGCCACGATCCAGCAGAGCAAGGCGGTCTCAGATGCGGGGACTGCCACATCGGAGAGGGTGACCGAGCTCCAGGACTCGCTCGACAAGTACGCATCCTCGTCCGCCAAGGCATTCGATGCGCTGGCGCAGACGACCACGGCCGCGCTGGGCCGTACGAAGGCCACCCTCGGCCGCGTCCTCATCGCCAACAATTCACTTGACGCAGCGATGACGGAGATGAAGCGCGCGCTGGATGGAGTGGTACGTCGAGTGGACCAGTTGGAGAGAGCTCCAGCAACGGGCCCTGCACCACCACCACCACCACCACCACCACCGCAACGCTTCAGGCCGATGCGCATGGAGGGACAGAGCAGCCTGCAAGCGCCGCAGGCAACGGATTTGCGGGGGCCTCGTCAGAATCGTCCCCAACCACATGCTAGTGAGCTATCTCAGACCCGACCCGCTGCCAGCGAGTATTTCTCGGATGACCAGGAAGACCCAGATCGCTCCACGAAGTACGGGCACCGATCGCATCACAACAGATACAGACCACGCATTCCTCGGTCTGAATTTCCTAAGTTTGATGGGGAGGATCCTAAATGGTGGAAACAGCAGTGTGAAAAGTACTTCCGGATGTACAATGTGCAGCAGGATTTATGGGTCGATTTTGCAACAATGCATTTTGCAGGCAATGCAGCGCGTTGTCTTCAGACTTACGAAGCCATGCACACAGTTGGCAGTTGGGCAGCCTTGTGTGTTGCAGTGTTCGCCAAATTCATCAGAAACAAATACACTAGAGACATTGATATATTCTTTGCACTGAAACAGACTGACACAGTGGATGAGTATGCCCACCTCTTCGAAGAGCACATGCACAAGATGCTGGTCTATAATCAATCTTATGATGAGACGTTCTTCATCAACCGTTTTGTTCAAGGTCTCAAACCAGGAATAAGAGCACCTATGAAGCTGCAGCAGCCAAGCACAGTGGATTTGGCTTACTCTCTAGCACAAACACAAGAGGCACTCCTGGTTGAAGACACAGCTAAATTCAGCAAGAAGTG